TTTCATCGTGATCATCTCGTTTGGAATGACAAGCAGGGATCCTTTCGTGCGCCGCTTTCCCAGAAAGAAAGCTTAAAGTCTCGAATTCCGTTTCGAAAGAAGAATTTGATTGCAGATTGCTTTCGATTCGGTCAGATCGCGCGAGAATAATTCATCTCAATATTCGTCGCTTTTTGCCATGGTTAAATTGGGAAATCGAAATCGATGCATTTTCGAACAAAGAGAATACAGGATGGAATTTCATCAGTGTTTGTGGAAAATATTTCTAATTCTAAACTTGGTTCTGGAAAACTGATTGCAATTTAAATTTGTTTCAACTCGATCGATAACGATTAATAGAATACTTGGAACGTTTCAAGAAAATACACGGACGTTATTTAGGACGAGTTTTTTTTAACTCGAGTGATAGTCGAGTCGAGGTATAATCGCATTCGGAACGCGTACGAACGCGTTCTTTTAACCAAAAATTCTTAACGGGCCGCCACCAGCGTGGGACAACACGTTTTACCGCCGTCGAAATTATCTACCGAGCGGTTAAATGTCGCGCTAGAATTCCTCGTTTCACGCGTTCACCAACTAATAACACGGTGAGAACAGTTAAACAGGAAAAAAAAAAAAGAAAAGAAAAAAATAGTAAAGTTATCGCGATGAACGAGAATTATAATAATCGTCCACTGGTCCAATTGCTTATTATTGCAGATCCCTGTTTTCTTGTGAATGTGATGAAAAATCGAGATGGTATTACGAAATGTATAGAAGATGACGTTTGTTTCGAACGAAAATCTATCTTTTTCTATTTGTGATCGAAAGGTGGAAGGAATCCAGCTTGGGTGCACGAAAACTTGTATTAAGGTTCCAGGGGCTGGAGTCCCTATTTTACGGTCATCCTCGTGTTTCTAAAATAATCCCAAGGAATCTATTGGGTTCAGGGTTCGTTGACTTCCACTTTGGAACCGGTTCCCATCCTAAATTGGGGGACTTGAACTGTCTAAGACGGCTATTTAAATCGTTTTCTTTCCTTCTCTCTCTTTTTTTTTTTCGAAGGAAAACTTAATTAGTATATAAATTGTTTAGCTGGAAATTGAACGATATAAAAAAAAGATGTTCTTTTTTTTTTTTTACTTATTCATAAATTAAGAAACAAGCAAAAATTGCTTTTTTCCTAGTGAAATTCAAGTTTTTCAAATTTTTCATTATTTTTATAGACAATAAGTACTCTTTCTTCCATCCTTCTTTCTCAAGTTTAAATCCTTCATATCGATGTTCCTTTCCACCATTTTCTTCTTTCTCTACTAACCAACTTTTACTACATCGAAACTCAAGCTTTTCGAATCGCCACATCATCATGTCGAAAATAATGCTCCATTCTCTTTTTTCTTCAACCATCCTATCCTCTATTTTCCACCATTTTCCTTTCTTTTCTCTTCTTTTTTTTTGCTTTTTTTTTTTGGTCGTCTTTCCTGTTCTTCACGAACGTGTAATAAAGCCTCTTACCTCTTCTTCCTTTCTCCTCCTTATCTCCCCTTCGTTTAGCAGATATCTCCGACTTTTTATCTAAAATAATTAGTGCGTGAACACGGCTACATTCCAGATGTGGCTCTAGCGCATAGAAGAAAGTTGGCGGTCAGTGATGGATGTGGGCGTTACACGAGAACGAACAAAAAAAAAAAAAAAAAAAAACAAGCGAGGAGAAAACTTCATTTTTTTGCAGGACCATGGTTACACGATCGTTAAGATAACGATCAGGTTATACGTATTACAAGCTGCGTTGAAAAGGAAATCGTGCTCTCGTATATTTTTCAGAACGTCTTCATTTCCCGATTATCCTTCCATTTTTTTCTTTTACATCCAGCAATTCCACCTCGTACGTATCGTGCACGCCGCTGCAAATTAAAATATCTTCGAAATTTTATCAAAGAGGAAACTGTCGTTATTAATTATCGAGAGGTTGTAACTTGTTGCAAGTGCAGGCTTGGAGGACGTATGAGGGTCAAGTTTAACTTTTCGTAAACGTCGGCCGCTTAACATCTCTGGAAATACATTTAAAACTTATCAAAGAGGGAACTGTCGTTACTAATCATCGAAAAGTTATCGAGAAGTCGTAATTCGTTGCAAGCGCACGCCTGGAGGACGTGAATGAAGGTCAGAAGTTTTGTAGAGCAAAAGTCTTGTCGGTTAACATCTTGGAGAAAGAAAATATTTTTAAAACTAAACTCAAACAGGAAACTGTTGTTAATTATCGAAAAATATTACTCGAGAATCGGGAGGATAAAAGTAGAACGAATTCCAAGGAAGGAAATAAAATTATAATTTGTTGTAAATATGCTTGGTAAACGTATGAAGAATCATATTCAAGATATTCTCTCGAATGATATTCACATTAGAAAAAACTGTTGATTAACTCATAACCCACAGATTAATTCGTAATTAAAAATTAGAATTCTTCTTTAAAGTAATATTTTCGTACGATAATAATACTAATATCTCAAAGTGTCTTTGCAAAGGTATTTCTCTTTGTAATAATAAAAAAAGAAAAAACACCTCGATTAAATTAGCTCGATCAACCTCGAGTATTATTCAACTTGGGAAAACATTCCTGACTAGCATATATCTCGCTATATACACCGCTACGTGGAAAAATGAATCTATCTCCAATTCCTGTTTAATAGACAGTGAGAGAGCGTTTAACCTGCTCGAGTGTCGAGTAGCAAAGAAGCAAAAAAAGGAGGGGGAGGTGGAAGAGGTGGGGGGAGGAGAGGAGGAGAGAAAGAAGAAGAAGAAGAAGAAGAAGGAAGGAAAAATAAGAGAAATTACACTCGACATTATCGTGAGTCATCGATTCGAGACGAACGGCTCTCGACAACCACGCCTCCTTAATTTATTCAACCGGACACGAGGGAATGCAACTTTCTTGGCGTTCGTTAAGTCCGTTTAAATCGAATATGATAATTTTATGCGAATGTTTCGCGTAACGCTGGTAGCTGGTAGCTCCAAATAAATATAATTTTGTCTCTTTCTCTTCTAAGGAGAAAGGGAAAGGGAAAAGAAAGAAGAGGAGGAGGAAGGAATCGAGAGAATACTTTTGCATTGTCGCTTTCTAATCGCTGTGCGAATCTTAGCATTGTGGAGGCGTTTTTTTCTTTTTTTTTTCAAAGAAAAAATAAAAAGGGCACCAGCACAGCTCTACTCTACAGTGGATATTAATAAGCGCGGTTATGAAATGCGCGACGATTATTTCGTTACGTAAAAACATGTCGTCCTGTCGCATAATACTTCCTCTCGTCGTGACGATCGTTTCGTTGGGGAGCAGGTAAATAGATTTTGCGCGTGGTAAGAAAGATAACAGCGTTTTAGTTATTAAGCAAACGTGATAAATTAAATATATACTCTCTTCTTTGCAATTTTTTCCATTCCATTTTACAGTTTGTTATTAAATATTTTTCGTTTTCTATACACACTCGTCGTCCGTCTTTCAAGAATTTTAACAATTAGAACAGTAATTGTACTTTATCGAGAACGTGAAAATATTTATTAATTAATATCGTAATTTATTGAGATAAAAATAGTAATTTGAAATGACGTAAAATGAATGGATATTATATACAGGCCCGGGTAATTCTACTATTAAAAACAACCTATTAATCACCCATTTTAATCACTTTCTATCCTCCATCGTAGCCTGGTAATCCGAACCAAAAGGAAGGACGAAATAATCGCGGGTATCTGGATCGAATTAAACGTATCGACCCGTGCGACGATAACGAGAGGCTCAAAATTATTGATCTGTGCTGAAAAAAAAAAGAAAAAAGGAACGGGAGAATCGCGTCATGCGGGTCATCTTCGATCGTTATCATTCGAGCACGACAACCGGGGGAATAAAAGGGTGAATAATACTAAAAAAAAAAAAAAAAAAAAAAAAAAGAGAGCAAGAAAAACCGGTTTCGCTATCTTTTTCAAAGTGATCGTAATTATATCGTAAATTTAACAACGAGCGGAGCGGCATCGAGTCTCCGTTTATGGTTCCGGTTCGTTAAAACTTTCCTCGAAATGAATTCCGAGCGAACGATGCTCACGTAACGATCAAAAAACGATTGTACTCCCTGTTTCGCGATTTCTCGTAATCTTTTAATCTTGAACTTTCACTTCTCTTTTTCTTCTTCTTCTTTTCTTCTCTTTTTAATCCCGTTTTTAGATTTCCTGCCTCGGGAAACGGAATTTCGTGCCGAAGAGAAAAAATCATTGGAAAAATCATTAATTCATCGGGCTGATAATTGAACGAGACAACGCACGAGGGCGAAAGAGTCGAGAGATTACTTTTTCCACTCGTTTCGCGCGAGATTGGCCGCGAAAAAGTTAGTCCCGATTTTCGTGTCGCGTGGAAAAGTTGGGTTACGTTTCATTCACTCGTGTCACGATTGAAAAAGTCGGGCCACGCTTGGGACAAAATGGAAAGGAACGAGATTAGAAAATCACGCGATTGGGCGCGAAAAAGTTGGGTTATGGCTCGGGCAAAATGGAAAGGAACGGGTTAGAAAATCACGCGACCGAGCGCGAAAAAGTTAGGTTATGCTTCGGACAAATCGAAAGGAACGAATTAGAAATGTGAAAATCACGCGATTGATCGGGGAAAAAGTTAGATCGTGAATCGGATAAGAAATCAAAAGGAATAATTAGAAATGTGAAAGTTACGAGTATTCTTTATATCGAAGTTACAGATTTAAACGATTTATAACTCGAATTAACCTCGTTTCGTTTAAATATCACGTTATAGAATTTCAATAATAATCTGGTATATTTAGTTAGAAACATTTATTTCAAACTTTGTTTGAATTATTGGAATATGGAAAAGGATCGTGTAAAAATATTCGTGCTGAATATTACTGAACAAGATACTCTTCGCGTGTAGACAATGGACTGGCGGTTGACAACAGATTAAAATAATTATTACGATTAACCACGTTTCTTCTCTCTCTCTCTCTCTCTGTCTCTGCCAGCTCTCAGCTACGGCAACGAGGCACAAAATGTGTGTAAGTTGGGAATTGTCGACAGTCTGGGCACGCGATAATTGTGCGGTTGCGCAACGATCGTTAAGGTTTCACGAGTTGCTCGTATTTCATCGAAAAAAGGAGAAGGAAACTAGGCAAAAGAAAACGAGAATGATTTTCCATTTCACCAGCTTCTGCCGTGAAATCGTTTTGTTCGAGCGCCGATCGACGGTGTACACAACGGTGATTCCACGCTGTCCGTAAGCCGAGTAAAAATGTCCGGATGAAAGTTGCTCGACATACACGAGCCTAATGCGAGCTTGCCCTCCATTTGTTTCCACAACGTTGTTGCGAATGACGGAATACGTTGAACACGTTCGATTATTATTCGGAAAGAATGAAAGAAATAAAATAAAGAAAAAAAAAATAAATAAATAAGAAACGTTTCTCGCCATTTCCAAAAATTGAATTCCAAATTGGCGATGATCCATCTTCTCCATTTGGACCCGCTATATTTTTAGAATCTGCGAAAAAAAAGTAACGATCATATATAAAGATATTTCGAGACGAAGATTAAAATGCAGTTCTCGTTATTTACAAACGTGTACGATAATCCATCTTCTCTCCATTTGGATCGACTTTATCGGTGTTCAAGAAAAAAAGAAAAAGTAACGATCATAAAAACGTTTCGAAATAATACCTCTTGTTGTTGCAAAAATTGAATTCCAAACATCTGTAATAATTCATCCATTTGGATCTTGGCCCATCTTTCGTTTATTAATCTGCAAAGAAAAAAAAAAAGAATAGCATCGATTCTCCGTAAAAACATTTTCACAATGCGGATCAGAATTTCTCGTCATCCCCAAAAATAAGAGATCGATCGTTTCGAATCTTCGCGATCCTTCAAAGAGGCGAGGCGAGACGTATTTTCCCATGCCATGAATATCCCGGGATAAAGTTTTCCCATAGTACTTCCACTGGCGTCGTTACATTGTCAGGAAGAACATTTGCATTGACATGGCAAAGCTGCCGCAAATGGACAGGCGAGCGCAGAAAGTGGCGAGGCGTTGGCCGCCGTTTAAGAGTTAACGTTACAGCGAGTTCGCCGCAAAAAGATCTGGTTCACGTCGTTCCAAGTAAAAAAAGCATCGAATGCTTATATATATACCGAGTCGAGGTGGAGCAGAGCTCGAGTGAAATGTGGCGTAAGCAGGCCCGATAACAACGACACACGGTCGTCGGGCCCATGGGCCAGGACTTTTACGCCGAAGGACATGCCCCTTCGAGTTGTGCACGCGCTTTGCACCAAGTTTCTCCTTCTTATCGTTCTTGTGTAACGCACGCCACCGTCTTCTTTTTCCTTTTTTCTTTGGAAGAAGTGAGAGGAGAGAGGAGGGAAGGGAAGATAGGAAAAGGAACGAAAACTTATTAGCTATCCGTATCACTCGTCTCGTTCGATTCGAGTGCTGCCATCGTTGCGCTGCGATTGAACAACGAACAATGCGTGCGCATGTGTGCTGTTGCGCATTGTGAATTTGCGCAGGTTACAGCCTTTCAGAGAGAGGATTTGAGAATGATCGAAAAGGAGGTTAGGTGAGAGAATTTAGGTGATCTAGGTGTTGATCGAATAAACTTTTAATAAAAAAAAACTGAAAGGTTTAATAAAGAATGAATTGCATGAAGATTAACTTTATCTTTTGAGAAACGACCACTGTCAAGTTGACAGTTTGAATTAAGAAAGTTGCAAGTATTAAAATCCTTTACCAAAACGGAATCATTGCCAGGTCGGTAAATCAACATCGGCTCGAAGCTCTGTTGCCTCGTTCGTTATATAGTATATCAGACTACTATGAAATAACATCGCGGCAGACAATCACATTCACCTACGTGGACGTTGTAATCGTAAAATATGGGGCGTCGTGGCGCAGTGATCTAAGTTATTGCTTGTCGTGCTGCTTCGGTGATTTTGAATGGAGCTGGAATCAAACGATTGGATAATTATGCTCTCGGTACTTGAATAATTCAGGCCCTGTTATTATATATCCCGTTATAGCCACTCGATTATTTATAGATAGATCCACCGTTTCTATTTGCCTCTGTAATAGCAGATCGAATCGTCCGTTTTACCAAGCAAATCGAGGATTCCAGGATTATCGGCGACAGAATTAATTTTCGTCGTTCGATCAATTCTTTTTCAATTATAATAAAAATAGATCTTGGGATTTTCTCTCTCTCTCTCTCT